TTTGAGAACAGGTCGGGTTGAATCGGCCCGTCTGACGGGTGGTTGGATTTAGTTACTCCCGTAGATAGCTGAATCGGTACCTTTTCAGTTCAAGCTCATGACAGACTTTTCGTTGCTTTTGCCTCCCTGACAGCACTGCTTACGGTGTCTGGTCCGTTGGTATGTACGTGAAGACCGAGGGATGATTGCAGAGCGACGGGATGTCTGCACGGAAGTTTCGTGGCTTTGCAATTGTGGGCAATATAAAGAATCTAGAATATTTATTTCCCAACATTAACTCTGATGAAGATGTCAGGTCGTGAGTTTCACCAAATCGCCCTTGCTCCAAAGAATTAGCCGCTAACAGTAGTGATTAGGTTTAGCTCAGTTGGTTAGAGCGTGGTGCTAATAACGCCAAGGTCGCGAGTTCGACCCTCGTAATGACCAAGTGAAGTGATCTACTTTTTCCTTTTGCATTTGACAGCCTCGATTCACATGCATTTACGGAGAAGAGCATGATGTTTCGTTTCCTCCATACTCAGAACAGAGACCACGACATGCAGCCCATCCTTGACATATATAGGGCTGCAACAACCGTGTTGATGAACATCACTCATAAAATCACAGCTTGCTCGCCCGCTCAACATTCGCCCCTGGATCCTCCCCGATCTTCAACACCACCCTCCCGGCAATATCACCCCTCTCCAACTCCTCATAGACCTTGGGCAGGTCTTTGAACGGCCTCACATATACCTTTGGCTTCACCACACCGGTGCGGACCAACTCCACCGCAGCCAAACACTCTCCTAGGTTCCCCACCAAGTTTCCTTTGATTTTGATCCCTTTGATGACGATTTCAGCGACTGTCGTCTCGATATGTCCGCCTCCGGGAGGGATGCCGATCAGGCACATAGTACCCCCGATACGAAGCATGGATGCTGCCTGCGCGAAGGCGGCTGAAGAGGCGGCGGCGACGATGACGGCGTGTGCGCCGCACGCTGTCATTTCTTGCACCTTGCTGACCACGTCAGGTGTTTCCCGGAAGTCAACGAACTGGGCGCCGAAAGACGTGACGAGGTCGCGCTTTTGCTGGCCACCGTCTACGCCGATGACTCTCGCACCCTGGGCGAGGGCGTACTGGACCGCATACTGGCCTACTATCTTATCAGCAAAGCATCTCATATCTCCCTCCGACAGTCAGTGGCGACCATACCCAATCCTCCACCGGCACCCACAACGACCACCCATTCGCCAACCCCGACCTCCGCATTCTTCATAGCTTTATATGCCGTTAAGCCCGCACACAACGTCGGTGCCGCCAGCACAGGATCTACATCTTGCGGCAACAAAGTGATGTACCCAGCGTCCAAACAAACATACTCCTGAAACGCTCCGTCTTCATGATGCAAGTGGTTCGTTGGCTTGATCCCGACGCCCTGACAATACTGCTCCTCGCCTTTCAAACAGTACTCGCACCTCCTACACACCCGCGAACTGAAGCGTATCCCCACTAGTCCACCGATCTGTATACTGGGATCACGCTCCCCGATTCCAGGACCAAGTGCTACGATCCGCCCTACGCCTTCATGACCCCCGATGTGAGGGAGTTTGATGGCGGTGATGGGTTTCCCGTCCGCGCCTGCGGCCGTTCCGGCGCGTGTGTGGAGGTCAGACTGGCAGACGCCGGTGTACAAGACTTTCGCGAGGACTTCGTCTTGGCCGGGAAGTTGCACCGGATAGTCGTGTACGAACTCCACGGGCCCGCCGAGGGTCCGCACGAGGGCGACGGTTTGGGTGGTGGGGATTGAAGGAGGCATGGCAGTATGCACACTCTCGGTATGCTGGGTCAGTGATATGGCGATGCCGAAGCGAATGACAGCAGTACGGAAAGTAAGAGCTCGGTCTGTCTCGAGGCTTGGTGTTCCTTTGCGTTTGCAACCTCGAGCAGGCCCTATTACCTGAGGTTCTTATAGGACGGGCAGTGAACATCTTGAGCGCGGGGCAGCATTGTCATGCGGGTGCCCTCACATTATTTGGGAGACAAGTTACTTGCCCGGGTGTGACAGGAGGGGCAGGATTGTGCATTGCACGGAGTTCGAGGGCTCAATGCTTTCCAGCCCCACCATATACCTGGTACGAAGTACCAAAGTAACCTGCTTTCTTCCAGCTTACTATCACAATGGAAGACGACTTACCAGTATTTGAACTCATCGACGACTCGCAAGCTCTCAGCGATGCGGAATTGCAACGCTTGCTGCTGCACCCTGTCAACGCTGCCATCAGCAATGCCGAAGCAGAGTGTAAGGCAGGACATCTGTCCCCCGCGTCCTTGAGCATCAGACAATTGCTCCAAACAGGCACCCCAGCTCAAGGTCTCCAAGTCTGTCTTTTGGAGGCTGTTCAGTCTGGGAACGAGGACCTGGTACAGACGCTCATGTCTGCCGGCGTGCCTATCAGTCTGGAAGTCGTCAAAATTGCCATTGCAAACAAGTCGATACCACTCCTTTCGCTTTTTCTAGGACATGGATGGAACATCAACGAAGAAGAGGCGTGGTGTATCCCTGCGTTGCTTTCGTGAGTCCCTCCATAGGTGTTCCAGTGATCGTCGTTGACCAAGTCCGCAGGTTTGCAATAACCACCCAAGCCGACGAACCGCTCATTTCGTGGTTTCTATGCAACGGAGCCGACCCAAATACGCCCTGTCAGATGGATATTACGCCCCTCTCGAGCGCTGTCGCAGAAGCTCCACTCTTCATCGTGAAACGGCTCTTCGCACACTGCCCCTCCTCCACATCATATCACGGACAATTGCTTCATTGGGCAGCAGCACGGCGAATGGCGGACGACTGTGACGAGATTCTACAGCTTGTAATCGACCGGTGTCAACCTGACATCAATGCCACGATGTACGAAGACCATGCTTTCTCATATGAGGTACGCAAGGTGGTGGGCTTGGGTACTGCCCTTCATGAGGCTGCGAGGGCAGGATGTACGAGCGCTGTCAAGATACTACTTCGGAATGGTGCTGACGATTCTGTTCGCGACTCTCGTGGAAACACGGCGCTTGAAGTGGCAGAGCTTGAGGGAAATATTGGAGTCGCAGAACTTCTTCGGTATGACAAAGCGAAGATGTAGTCCAGTACTCCGATGAGCATATGCGACCTTTCGACTAATTCCATCACTGTTCCACTGGCTGGGATACCTTATTTCCTTGACCTTTCTCTGTCTTTCCTCATCTGTCGACAGCGAGTTCACGTACACCCAACCTCGGGCGAAGATGAGCAGGCGGCTCAATAAATTCCTCCGGATGCTCGGCCATCATCCTGTCCATCTCAGAAGATCGAGCACTCACGACGTCGACGCAGTCCGGCAGCCCTCTTGGCATGATAAGTCGTGGTACCCATGATGAACTGCAGCGCATTGGAGTAGTAAGAATGGAACTCCCACACATCCTCCGAATCACAGTACGCAAGGAATTGCCCCAGGCCACCGACGAGATTGTGTGCGCAGTACGACGCCAGGTCCAGATCCGGGTCGTGGGGCTAGCATAGAGCTGGCGCAGCGCGTAGTTGATAGAACCGCGAAGGTGAGAGTCGTCGTGTGGACTGCGACGAGGACCTAGATCATTGGGCCGCCCCCAGGCCTGCGCCCACATTGTGGCGAAGGGGTCCCAGGGTTTGTCCTTGGCCATCGCCAGGCTCTCAAGTACGAGCGCGGGTTTGCCATTGATGGGACTGCGGCCCAGCTCGAGCGAGAAGCGGGTTTTGTACGTGATGATTAGACTCTTGACGTAGCGTATGCGCTTCCAGCCCACGGCGAACATCCAGCGCGAGGCTTCGGGTGCGCCAGCGAGGAGAGCCTCGATGTTACGGTTGAAGTGGAATGTGTTCTGCCGCCAGAATATCTGCTCTGCTTCACTTCGGATTCGAGGGCATGCCGCGAGTGGCGTTGTCGCGGGAGGGTCGTTCTCGATCTCAGTTGGCCGAACGGCGTCGCTGGGCACGAGTGCGAGCTCGTAGATGTGGTTGCGGAGTTGGGCGGGGAGATTGAAGAAGCCCATGCGTGGATTGGTGAGCGACTGGTCTTCGGACATGGTGAAACTGGCCTGCAGCGCTTGCTGGTTGATGATTCGAGCACGGTCGATATGCGCGGTGATACTGACTTCCGAGCTTCTTTGCCGTTCACTCAAGAGAGCTTGAGTTGTAAGAGTCCCCAGGGGCAGAGGTTGCTTATGTGTTCAACAAGGTGTGCCCATTGATTGTGGCCATCGGGCAGCTCACGTCGAGTGCGAGCCTTAATGTAAGAGAGCTCTAATGACTGTCAGACAGTGCGAAGCCTCTGAAACTGTTCACAATTGTGGCTTTGGTATCGTAAGAGGATTTATGCGCCGTGAGTGCCTCTAAATCGGGTAAAGGGATCGCTTTAGTACAGGTACAGACTCAGCAAAGTCGTCCGGTCCCAATGTCGGCATCACTGCATCAGCATTCACGAAACAGCTGAATGAGCGAACCAAGTACATACGACCACAGGCCGCAGAGAACAGAGGATCCCGTCCGCTCTCCTGTACTTAAGCTCCGAACCGGCGGATTAGTAATTTAGTGGGAGACCATAAGTGAATCCCCGCTGTTGTATGTTTTTGTTTTGTCCTTCCGTGCATTGATAGCAAGCTGCTGCCCTGTATGCGTTGGGCCGGCGGCGTGGTGGAAAGGCAAAGGGGGCTGGGCGGAGCGGAGCGGGGCGGCGTGGCGCTTCAAGTAGAGCTTTGGTGCGTTTTGGGAACCTCCACCTCGCGGAGACCTTGTCGCGGGAAGGAAGAATCCTCATGCCACTCTTGATAGCGAACCGCCACCTCCTCCAACTTTGTGACTGCCGCGCATTGCCACAAGTACATCCAAGCGAGTCAACCCTCTCGATATTGAGCCGAGGCCGGGAAGCATTGCTGCTACTTCAGTCAATGGTAGACTATTCATACATCAGCAGAGTCGAGTGTGCTCCGAGTTCTTGTGATCTATGAGTGTATATCCCAGACGCCTGCGCTATGCTCGCGACAAATAGCATCTCTACTACGCAGAAAACTTAAGCAGACACCGGCCGCGCGATCTTCGCCCGCATCATAGCATCCGGGCCCCTCTGCCCTACTAAGCTCCCGCTCTTTCCTTGCGCCTGTCCCTGCGCCTGCGCCACAGCATTTCTCACCAACCTCATCGTGCGCTGCGGAACCCACACCCTGCCGCCCAGCACCAAGACGCCACTTAATAGCGCCAACGCACCCGCCTGATGCGCCGCAGCCAATGGCGTCGGGACGAGATACCAGAGTGTTGAGACCCCTAGTATGACTTGCAGGCTCACAAGATGTACTAGACCGAGCATTCCCATCCTGCCGGATTTCGGTAGAAGGGACCGGACGGCGGGGCTGTAGCGGCTGTAAGCCCAAAGTGTGAGGACGG